TAGAGATGGCAGATAATCATTTCCGGGACTATTCCAGGGTAATGGAGTCGAAATACATTACGCGAGATGACTAGGGGTGCCAGATTATAATTTTTGGGACAATTATAGGGTAACGGAGACGATATACATTATGCGTGATGACTAGGGATGCCGAATTATCATTTCGGGACAGTTCTAAGGTAACGGAGTCGATATACATAACGCGTGATAAATAGGGATGCCGGAATATCATTTTCGGGAAGATTCTCAAGTAGTGGAGTCGATTTACATTGCGCGAGATGACTAGGGATGCCAGATTATCATTTCCGTGACATTTCTAAGGAAACGTAGTAGGTATACATTACGCTAAATAGTGAGAGGTGTCAGATTATCATTTCCGGGACAATCCTAAGGTAAAGCGGACGATATACATTACACGATATGACTAGGGATGCCAGATTGTTATTTCCGGGATAATTATAGGGTAACGAATTCGATATACATTACGCGTTATGACTACGGATGCCAGATTATCATTTTGGGACAATTCTAGGGTAACAGAGTCGATATTCATTACACGAGCGAACTAGGGATGCCAGCTTATTATTTTTGTGGCAATTCTGATATAACGGAGATGATATACATTACGCGAGATAAATAGGATGGCAGATTATGATTTCCGGGACAATTCTACGGTATCGGAGTCGAAAATACATTACGTGTGATGAATAGTGATGCCAGATTATCATTTCAGGGATAATTATATGGCAATGGAGTCGATATTCTCTATGCGAGATAACTAGAATGCTAGAATATGATTTCCGGTACAATTCTAGGGTGACGGAGTCAGTACACATTACGCGAGTCGACAAGGGATGCTAGATTATCATTTTCGGTACAATTCTAGGGTAACGGAGTCAATATACATTACGTTAGATAAATAGGATGCCTGATTATCATTTCCGGGACAGTTCTAGGGTGACGGAGTCAATATATATTGCGCGAGATGACTAAAGATGCCAGATTATCATTTGCGGGGCAAATCTAGGGTAACGGAGTCGAAATTCATTAGGCGTAATGACTACGGATGCCAGATTATCATTTTCGGGACGATTCTAGAGTAGTGAAGTCGGTTTACATTACGCGAGATGATTAGGGGTGCCAGTTTATAATTTTTGGGACAATTATAGGGTAACGGAGTCGATATACATTATGCGTGATGACTAGGGAATCCAGATTATTATTTCCGGGATAATTTTTGGGTAACGGAGTCGATGTACATTACGCGAGATGACTAGGGATGCCAGATTATCATTTTCGGGACAATTTTAGGGTAACGGAGTCTATAGTTATTACTAGAGATGACTAGGGATGCCAGATTATCATTTCGGGACAGTTCTAAGGTAACGGAGTCGATATACATTACGCGAGATAACTAGGATGCCAGATTATTATTTCCGGGACAATTCTGGGGTAAAGGAGTTGATATACATTACAGGAGATAACTAGGGATGCCAGATTATCAATTCTGTGGCAATTATGTGTTTAACGGATTTGATATACATTAGGCGTGATGACTAGGGATGCCAGATTGTCGTTTTTGGGACAATTCTAGGGTGACGGAGTCGATATATATTACACCGAGATGACTAGGTATGTCTGATTATCATTTTCTGGACAATTCTAGGGTAATGGAGTCGATATACATTACGCGAGATAATTAGCATGCCAGATTATGATTTTCTGGACAATTCTTGGGTATTGGAGTCAATATACATTACGCGTGATGACGAGGGATGCCATATTATAATTTCCAGGACAATGTTAGGGTAACGGAGTCAACATAAATTACGCGAGATAACTAGGATGCCTGATTATCAATTCGGGGGAATTTCTAGAGCGACGGAGTCAGTACACATTATACGAGTCGACAAGGGTGGCACCCCTTAATCATTTTCGGGACAATTCTAGGGTAGCGGAATCGATATACATTACGCGAGATAACTAGGATGCCAGATTATGATTTTCGGGACAATTCTGGGGTAAAGGAGTTGATATACATTACAGGAGATAACTAGGGATGCCAGATTATCATTTCTGTGGCAATTATGTGGTTAACGGATTCGATATACATTAGGCGTGATGACTAGGGATGCCAGATTATCATTTTCGGGACAATTCTAAGGTAACGGAGTCGATATACATTGAGCGAGATGACTAAGGATGCTAGATTATCATTTCCGGGACAGTTCTAAGGTAACGGAGTTCGTATACATTACGCAAGATGACTAGGATGCCCAATTATTATTTTCGGAACAATTCTAGTGTAGTGAAGTCGGTATACATTACGCGAGATGATTAGAGATGGCAGATTATCATTTCCGGGACAATTGTAGGGTAACGGAGTCGATATACATTACGCGAGATGATTAGGGATGCCAGATTATCATTTCCGGGACAATTGTAGGGTAACGGAGTCGATATACATTACGCGAGATGACTAGGGATGCCAGATTATCATTTTCGGGACAATTTTAGGGTAACAGAGTCGATATTCATTACTAGAGGTGACTAGGGATGCCAGATTATCATTTCTGTAGCAATTCTAGGGTAGCGGAGTCGGGTCGTATTAATTAAATATAAAAAATGAAATCATATGAAAATAAATAGTTATTTAATTACGCTTCAATAATGATTTACTTGTTGTATTTGTTGTGTTTAAAGGGGAAAGAAAAAAGCAAGTTATTTTGTATAATGACTCTTTTATTTCATTTAAAATTTACCTACCTACCTCAATACATATTTTGTATTTACATCTATAATATAAAAATGAATCGCTGAATGTGTTGCTAAGCGCAAATCTCGAGAGCAGTTGAACCGATTTCGCAAATTCTTTTTTTATAATATTTCTTGACGTACGAAGATGGTTCTTACGGAGAGATAAATTTAAAAAATTGCCTGAATTAGTATAAAAACAACACTTTTCTATATTTCCGTATGAAAGATTCGTAATAATACTTAAAAATCAATTTGAACTTTAATATCATACCATGTAGTTTAAGTGTTAGTGGAGGGGTTCCGGGAAGGCAAAACAATTGAGTGACGTTAGTATCGTATAAATACTAATGTCAATATTTGTCATTTAGAATAAGTAAATAAAAATGAAATATAATAAGTAGGTATCATACTAAGAAATCAGAATTTGTAATTTTCATTGTGATTTTTAGTGACTATTAAAAGAATTTTAAGTGTTTTATAATTTTTATTTTTTGACATAATGTAATTGTTGACTTATCAACTTTCTTTTTTCTTTTTTATCTTACTAGCTGACCCGGTATCCCGAATAGCAGAATAAGTATTAAAAAAATAAAAAAATTAAAGAATCGACTGTTAGGCAGTACGAAGTTTGCCGGGTCAGCTAGTAATATTATAAAGAGATAAGCAAAAGCATCTCGCTTTTACTTATGGATTAAGTTTTGGTAGACAATCAACATACATTTGCATCATTCGTAACAACATATAAAACCTTATAGGAGCTCTTTAACTTATTAAATTTTGGTAAGTAATCAACGTCAGTTAATATAAAACATAAATAAACTTAAAACAATAACCAATGAACACTTTCTTATGGCTGTTTGATTAAGTAAACTTTGGTAGGAAATGAACACGAGTCTTGGTAGAGAGTAATTGTGTTCTGTGAACACGAGTTATCTTGTAACATATATAAAAAAGTCTCTATTTGTTATAAAACTCTTAACAGACTACATTTAGAATATTTATCGCTGGATATTTCCATTTTTATCAGGGCTTTACAAAACTGATAAAATTACGACGTACATAGTTACTTCCAAAATACGTAAAACTTCCATGCGATATTTGCGTACTGTATGCGCAAATATTATGTATTCTTTTCTATTCATGCTCTGATAATTACTTCTTTGTCATTCTGCACTCTTCTCATCCATTTTCGTACACAACTTTAGCTATAATTTTAACAAATTTAGCGGTCAGCTTTCAGACCTAAAAACTAGGTTTCTTTCTCATATTTAAAACTAAAATTAGTTAAATGTACTTTTATCTCTCTTTAAACACGCCTGTTTTCTATTTCATTTAATAATAACTTATTTATGTTATACAATTGTGATTTTTTTTTAAATTTAATACTCTAAAATCCATCCAATCCATTATTTTTTTGAGTTTTAGCATGAGCTTAGCTTAATCTTAGCCCGATACAACTATAAATTTGGAATCAAACATTATGCCAAGCATATACTCAGCTAAGTTTTGCGTACGTAAAGTGTGAGCAAAGTCAAAGTACGGTCCATAGATCTCAGTCTAAATCTGGTTGAGCGGCTGAATCGACGTACTACAAAAATATATAAATGTCTGGCACGTCAAATTTACAAAAAGATGTTGTTACGTTGTAATCACATTATTGTTATTTACTTCTTTTTTAACTACGAAGAACTGACATTCAACGTGGGAAGAAAGGTTCTCGAGGGGAAGCATCGTACCGTTAAGCGAAGTTTAGGGTAACTCTCACTTGATAGTATGATGACATGGTAAGTAATGCAGAATATCGATGAGAACAGGTGGCTCAAGGTAGTTCTTTGTAGCTCTCCTTGGGGGTCGCCTATGTTCAGTTCTGTAGATTCATTGCCTCACACAACACCAGCGTAAAATAGCAGCTCAATGCTGTTATGTTTCGTATGGTGAGTGTAGAGCACCGGAGACCCTTTTTTCGAGGCATTCAATCTTAGACCTCAGAGATGGCAACGCATCTGCATTTTGATTCTTAATCAAGGATAGATGTCGATGTCTATGGGCCACAGCATCCCCTTACCATCAGGTGGACTGAGTGCTCGTTTGTCAACCATATTATTCTATAAAAAAGTATATATAATAAAATTATGATATTCTTTATATGAAAGTTTTTAGTTTCTTTTAATTTAATTCGAATCTTTTTTTAATACCTTGATGCTTTTAAAATAATATCTCAATAAGAATTTTAACATTTTCAGCATACTTAAGTAACCTTCAAGGCAAATTTAGAGGCAAGATTGCTAAACGAACTGATGAAAGAGTTAAAGTGATGAGTGAACTCGTGAGCGGAGTCCAAGTCATAAAGATGTACGCTTGGGAGAAACCCTTTGAGAAGTTAGTGGATAAACTAAGAAGGTATGTGCAGTCTAAATATAAATTCTCTTAAGAGTTGAACCACTGATACAAAATAGTTAAATAAGTTTAAATCTTTCAATGAAATTTTATTGCAAAGGTGTTATAGAAGGTACATACTATTATCGGAAAATAATTTTTGAAATATTATGTATGATTAAAGCCGATAAAGCCGTGGAAATTTCTATGAAATATAAATTATTTGGACTTTACCGTATTTAAAGGCATGGATAATTCTAAGTTAACCCGACAGGGTCAGTCTAGTAGACAACATACATAGATAATACACTATATACCAGGGATAGATGCGCCACTCACATTTCAGTTTTCGAATGATTTAATGATAATAATTCTATAAACACATACTCGTTACGGTCGCGAATCATATTTTATTAAACATTCAACCTGACCCTGACCTGCAAATTCCAGAAAACGCAAGAAAATTTGAATTTCGCGGGCCACCCTGGAGCTTTCACCTTAATGGATGTTATTGTAATGTAGGGTAAGCTTATTGTTAATATAAGGAAGGTAGTTTGTAACCTCTCTCTCTCTCGCAATAAATGGTTGAACTGTACGGACGTGTTTTCCTTTGTCTCACTGGCGACGAGGATTTTAATGGTGAAAATCGGCGAAAAATACGTGAAAATAGAAAATACGGGAAATTTAGACTGCGAACAATCAGCGTGCAAAATGTCGGTCGGAAAGATTAGTGAGTTTGACGTGAAAACCGGTAACTGGACTGCTTACGTGGAGCGGCTAGAAATGTATTTTGTGGCAAATTCAGTGAAGGACGAAATTAAATTGCCTACCTTGATCGCGGCTATGGGTGAAAGTGCGTATGAACTGTTATCCACCCTCGCGAGTCCTAAGAAATCCGCGGAACTTACGTATTTGGATGCAGTTGTACTATTACGTAATCATTTGCAACCGAAACCATCTCCGATGGCGGAACGTTATCGTTTTAGGCAAAGGAGACAAACAGACAGTGAATCGATCAGTGATTACGTGGCGGCATTAAAGAAACTATCTAGACATTGTGAATTCGGTGCAGTCCTACAGGACAATTTACGGGATCAGTTAGTGTGCGGACTTCGAAGTGACGTCATACGGCAGAGATTATTCGCGGAAGAAAAATTATTGTCCTATGACAAGGCAGTGATTTTAGCGGGATCGCTGGAGGCAGCGGAGCGGGACGCGGCGCTCGTGGAGTCGGGCGCAGCGGTGACGTCTTCGCAGGCCGCGGGTCAGCTGCGCGGCGATGGCGGCGGCGGGGCATACGGGGGGTGAACGCCATGCGCGTCGGCCAGCGAGCCCGCCATACGCGGCACAGCGCAGTGGCGGGAGGCGGTGGCGGCGGCGTCGGCGCAGGCCGCGCGGATGTGCGCGGTTCGCTATGCGGAGCTTGCGGAGGTGTTGACCATGTTGCCAGCGAGTGCAAGGTCAGAACCTACATATGCAGCAAGTGTGGCGTGATGGGCCACCTACGACGCTTGTGTTTCACAAATAACCAGTCGGTGGCGGAATGGCTCCTCTCCAGTGGTGGAGGAAGAGTCTAGTTCGAGTGGCAGAGAGGCCGCGGCCGGGTCCGCGCCCGCCGCGACGTCCCCGCGCCCCCCGCCCGCCCCGCAGCCGGCGCCCGCGGCTCCGAGCCCGGCGAGGGAGCGCCCCAACCCGCCTAGAACTCGTAGGGCCCCGCGACGTTATGGATTTGATTTTGATTAGTTGTAAGTTAGTTAAGTGATATGTGCTTTATTTTATATTAGTTTAAGTAAGTTTAGAATAAGGGTGGAGGTGTAATGTAGGGTAAGCTTATTGTTAATATAAGGAAGGTAGTTTGTAACCTCTCTCTCTCTCGCAATAAATGGTTGAACTGTACGGACGTGTTTTCCTTTGTCTCAGTTATAATATTTAATAGCTTGAGTTTTGACATTATCATTTTCACAACCACGAATCAGTAGTTAATAATTTAACAGATTAACGCAGGGTGGATGAAATGGCGACAGGTCACAGCCACAACGTGCGATCCCCGAATGCCAATAAGGCTGAAGTGGAAAATTTACAAATCGATCATCCGACCTGTCGTCATGTATGGAAGTGAATGCTGGGCCGTCAAGAAGAAGGATGAAAATAGACTGCATGCGAATGAAATGAGAATGTTACGATGGATGTGTGGTGTGACAAGGATGGATAAGATAAGGAATGAGTATATAAGAGGAAGCCTGAAAGTAGCGCCAGTGGTAGAAAAGGTGAGAGGAAGCAGATTGGCATGGTTTGGGCATGTGATGAGGAGGAATGAAAGTCATGTCACAAAACGAGTGTTGAATATGAATGTGGAGGGACACACGGGCAGAGGAAGGCCGAATAAAAGATGGATCGATTGTGTGAAGAGTGATATGAGAATGAAAGGAGTAAGTATGGAAATGACGGCTGATAGAGAGGAATGGAACAAAAAGATTTACTGCGCCGACCCCAGATAATGGGAAATGGTTTAGAGAATGATGATGATACAGAGTTAACATCTCACAAAAAATCTTTATTGTATATTCACGACGATATTATTATGACTGTGTATTCACCTACATACGAAAATGAAGTCCATAATAACTGAATTTAAGCAAAAATGAATAATAAATATTAAAAACTAAACCTATGACCTAAATTTTACTAAATTTCAGAAAATATCTTCAATATGAAAGACGTTAACAAACAAATGTCATTTTTTTCTTCCTCTATTAATTCATGGCTTCTTTTGATAGAATTCTGCTAATATTAAATAATTTAATTTAAATGAATTAATAGGTAAATTAATTTTGTAAATCTCAGAGTAATATATATGTAATTATATTTTAAAGAACAAACCAAAAAAAGCTTAACACAGAATTAACATTTTTGTTTCTTCCGATATAATATGAATTTGTGTATCTAATTTTTAAAATGGCAATCTAAAACAACATGAAGGAAAGAAACAGCGATATTTTTCTCGCTTTATTTTTACAAGCCCAACACAAACATTGACAAAATCATGATTGTGTGCAGATTTTTCAGCTTTTATACAAAGTTGGATCAGCCTGTTGTAGGCTTGGGCAAAAAATATCGATATATCGAAATATCGATATTTTATAATAAAAATATCGATAAATATCGTCGATATTTTAAATCAAGATATATCGACATATCGATATTTATTTTAGAGTATCGAATTCGTATCAATTTCGATATATTTTAAAATATTGTATGGTGTTTTTCGTCGTCCAACCGTCAGTAGATAAAATTTTGGACCTTATCTTTACATCATTCAAATGATCACGATACATCGATATATCGATATTTATCACGCGATATATATCGATTCTGTTTAAAAATATAGATTCGATATATATCGATATATTTTTCCCTTTGCCCATCCCTACCCTGTTGCCCTAACCGAGTGTGTTACCCATTTGTCAACCATAACCATAGACCAAAACTGCCATAGATTTAGGTTATTTTGGGCTTTGGATTCTGGGATTTTGGCCTAATTAACGCCATCTATACAACGCTGAAGAAAACTAGCCTACAAATATGTACCTAGTTCACTGGAGGGTAGAACTTTCACTGCATTTTTTATTCATGTAAATTTTTAATGCAGTTTCATCCTCCAAACACGTATTAAAAAAGATAGACAGGTTACACACTAACATTATTGTATTTTAAAGTGGCGCAGGTAGTACTATATCTATGTAGAGTTATTTATTATGACACGTTGCGCTAACAAAAAGAGACAAATGATACGGCATACCTATCGTTAGAAAAAGATGAATATACATCATTAGTTGCGTATTGATTGCTGCTGAGCGCTCATTGGCGCGAGCGCGTGATATACCGATATGGAAATGAACACACTAGCAAGCGTCAAAGTTTACACTAGCGGTTAGGGTTGAAATAATAAACCAAATTATGAACAAAACATCTATATTCAAAATATTAATGAGACGTTTTTCTTGTCTCTAACAGTTGTCGTGTAATTTGTGTACCACCTAAAAACACAGGAAGGCATTTTTACCACGAATAAATAGAAGACTTACGCGCTGTAGCGAAGGTATAGCCGCAACGCGAGAGCGTGCCCTACTGAATGCGAGTCGGGCAATTACCTGACTTTCGTATTGCCATTTTAGAGCGAGTATGACGTTTCTATACTTTAAAAACATCTTAGCCCCTGACAATACCTTGGGGCTTTAAGGCGCGGCCGAAAGAAATCACTTTCACCCGAGCTACGAGTATTATAAAATTTTTAGTGAATGTCAGAACGGCTTTCGTAAAAATCGGTCCACCATACTAGCAGTATATAAATATATTTAAGATATTTAAAAAATATTAAGGAATAAAGAATATGCAATAGGAATACTATTAGATATGCGCAAAGTATACGATATGGTTTAATATAACATATTGATTAATAAATTAAATAGTATAGGTATTCGTGGGATTACTTTGTAATGGTTCAAATCATACTTGTAAGATAGAGAACAATATGTAGAAATAGAATACTTTGATAATAATAAAATAGTGAAAGTCAGATCAAATAAAATAATTATAAATGCTTCAATACCCCAAGGTAGTGTATTGGGATGTTTATTATTTTTAATATATATCAACAATCTCAGTGAAACTATGGTTAACCCATGTGTTATGTTTGCGGATGATATCTCTATCTTAGCACCATGTCGTAACGTAAATAATATAAATGATATACTATATAAAATATTTAAAAATACTGACCAATGGATGAAAAAAAAACAAAAATTTTGCCTTTTTACCCTTATCAAAAACCACCAATTAAAATTAATTTTTCTTACAAAAATACAAAAATCGAGTCAGTAAATGAACACACTCTACTCGGTTTAATTCTAGATAGCCACATTAACTGGAAATCTCAAATTCAGAAAATTGCACTAAGTGAAATAAAAAAGACAACTGACCTCCAAACTGCGTTAATTACTTATAATGCCTATGCGCAGGCGTGG